TAGTGTAAGGAGACATTTGTTTTATGTATCAAGCTCTATCCCTAGAACTAGAAGAGCAACCAGCACACAGAAGTGCTTCTCTTTTTTGAATGAGTCAATAAATGCTCAAATGAATTGGTAAGTGTTGGAATTTTCTATTTTTAATCTTTGGATTCTGAAAGCAAGATGGAATGCAGAAAACACACCAGGATCTAATCCTGGCTCTGCTGCTGATAGACTTTGGGCAGTTCACTAAACTTCCCTGGGCCTCAGTTATAATAACTTCCTTATTCACAGAGCTGTAAAGAGTAAATGTGCAATGTAGGTAACTGAATCTGGAAAAGTACCTGAAATGGGTTAGATGGACTATAAAAATTTTTAAAGGTTCATGGTGAGATGGCAGTTGGCAAAAGGAAACAAATTTGGGACAATTTAGAAGAAAGAGAACCAGTGCACTTATTACTATTTGATGTCTCTATGAAAAAGGAAGTTTTTAAAAAGTTTTAGTTGACACTGGGTATAGTGGCACATGCCTGTAATCCCAGTGATTACGGAAGCTAAGGCAGGAGGCTGGCAAGTTTGAGGCAAGCTTGGGCAACTTGGCAAAACCCTATCTGAAAATTAAAATAATAATAATAATAATAATAATAATAATAATAATAGGCTGGGGATGTAGCTCAGTGGTAGAGCAGCCCTGGGTTCAATCCTTAGTAACACACACACATACACACACAAACACATAAAGTGAGCAAATCATATTTGTGCAGCTCAGTGAATTATCCCCAAATAATCATACTCATGTAACCATCTCTCAGGACAAGAAATGAAACATTGCCAGCAGCACAGGAGGCCCTGATGCCCGCCCCCCCCCCATTACTACCTCTCAATCCTTCCTAATAGTTAACTATTTTGACATTAATCACCAATGAATTGAGTTTTGTACATTTGTCCCAATGAAACTTTTTTAAATTTGATTTTTTGTTATTGTAATTTTTGTACACTTGTATATATCTAACAACCTTGCTAAACTCACTAATTCAATAAAATAATTATCTGTAGATTCTATTGGATTTTCTATGTACATCACCAAATTACTTCTGAATAGAGGCAGATTTCGTCCTCGAGCTTATATGCATCTTTTTTCTTTTTCTCTCTTTTTTTTTTTTTTTTTTTTTTTGTGGTGCTGAGTTGGAACCCAGGGCCTCAAGCCTGCTAGGCAAGAGCTCTATCATAAGCTACATCCCCAGAACTCTGTTCCTGTTCTTTACTTGTTTTCTTCATCTTGCTTATGAAATTGGCTAGGAAATACTTATGTTGGTCTCAGTTCTAGAAGGAACATTTTAAACATGCAACCATAAAGTTTTTTTTATAGGTTCATTTTATGAGAGTCAAGCATTTCTGGTTATATTTGCTTAAAGTTCCAGTGATGAATATACAATGAATTTTGTCAAGTCCCCCCCCCCCCCGCAACTACATACTTATCTAGAAGGTCCTATGATGTTTTTCTCTTTATTTGGTTAATGAGACAAATTTCACTCTTTTTCAAATATTAAACCCTTCTTGCATTCTCCAAGTAGGCCAAATTCATTACAATGTAGTGATCTTTTTAGACATTGCTGGATGTATTTTGCGAAAAGAACAACCGAGTTGATTTAAATATTTGTTTTCATGCTAATGTAAAACATGATACTATACTGGTCTGTAGCTTTTCTTTCTTATATTCTTGTCACGTTTTTGTATTAAGGCAAGAGTGGCCTCAGAAAACCAGAAGAAGTGTCTCTATTTGTTTTGTTCTCTGGGGAAACTTATGTAAAATTAACATAATCTCTTCCTTCCTTCCTTCCTTCCTTCCTTCCTTCCTTCCTTCCTTCCTTCCTTTCTTTCTTTCTTTTTTTTTAAACTAGGAATTGAACCCAGCAGTGCTTAACCACTGAGCGAAGTCCCCCGCCCTTTTTATGTTTTATTTTGAGACAGGGTTTCCCTAAATCTCTTAAGTTGCTAAGTTGTGGAAGCTGGCTTTGATCTTGTGATCCTCTTGCCTCACCTGGGATTACAGCTGTGCACCACCACACCTGGCACATTATTGCTTTCTTAAATACCTGATAATTTTCACCAGTGAATTTGTCTGGATCTGGAGTTTTCTTTATGAGAAATTTAAAATCATGCATTCCATTTCATTCCAACCTACCTTCTGTGCCTCCGCTTTGTGATTCTGGAACTGGGACTCACACATATTTTTCCTTTGCCAGCTGGTTCCCTCTTAGCCTCTGTCAGTGCAGAATACTAGAGGGAATCTGGTCAGCGAGGAAAAAGGGAGAGGGATCTGCTCCTTGCTGTGACTTCCTCTGGCTTTCCTGTTTGCTTCCTGCTCTGGTCAGCATCAGAACCCTGGCTTCTTCCCCCGAGCTGTGCTTTCCTCCTGATGTATGGTCTGCAGTTCAACCCGTCAGAGAACCTGCCTCAGTGTGCTTCAGAGACATAGGATCAGCCACTGTACCTCATCCTCAGAGATCTGGATGTCTGTTTTGTGGGCTCCTTTTCAAAGCTTCTGAGTTCCAAGTATGCCAACACCTTCCCCCTTTGTTACTGCAACCTTAGCTGAGGATGCTACTCCCTGCAGAGGCTGATTGAGTCTATATATGACTACCTTAGTGTTCTATTTTTGCCTTGTCAGTTGAAGAATAGAGTAACAGTTCTCCAAAGATACCCATCCGCATCTTAATCCTTAAAACCTGTGACTATACACCTCACATGGCAAAAGGTACTTTGAAAATGTGATTGTGAAGGATTTTGAGATGGGAAGATAATCTTGGATTATCTGCATGCGCCAATGTAATTACAGGTATCCTTATGAGAGGGAAGAAATGAGCCAGAGTCAGAGAAGGGCATGCCAAGATATAAGCACCCCCTGAAGCAATGGGGGGAGGGCATGCAACAAGAAAGGAAGGCATCTCTTGAAGCTGGAAAAAGCAAGGGAACAGTTTGTCCCTAGAGTCTCGAAAGGAACGTAATTCTACTAAAACCATATTTCACCCAGTGCAATGGATTTTGGACCTCCAGAACTGTAAGGTAATAAATTGGTGTTGTCAGAGGTCACTAAATTTATGGTAATTTGTTGCAGCAGCAAATGGAAACTACCACAAGTAGCCAGTTACTGATACTTTGTATCAAAATTTCTCTGAGGAAAAAAACTGCTGTGGTCTGTGCATCCTGACCTGGTCCTGATTTTTGCTCCCACCCCAGCTCCACATTGGGAGGCCAAGTTATAGGCGGCACAGAAGCAAGCAGTTAAATTAGTTTAATCAATTTAATTAAGAAGAATTGAATGAGCAATTGAATGAATAATTGATTAAAAAAATATTGAATGAGAATGGGGTTTGCCTACCTAGAGTGCAACACATCCTAACCCAACTAGCAAATTCCACTGTCTACCATGAATAAATCCAATATAGGACCTTTGGATGGCAACTCCTCAACACCTGTTTCCTCCTTCCCGGGAATCCTGCTATCCACATACATTTCCCCTTCCTTTTTCCTTCCTATGATGAATAACTTGACCGAGCTAAGGGTATCCTTAGCTCGGTCAAGTTTGTAAAGTGTGTGTGTGTTTTCTGGGTGTACCTGTGAAAGTATTTCTGAAAGAAATTAACATTTGAATTGGTAGGCCGAGTAAATAAGATCCACCATCACCAATGAAGGTGGGTATCATCCAATCCATTGGGGGCTTGAATAGAAGGAAATGGGGATGGGGAAATTCACTTTCTGCTTAAGTTAGGACATATGTTGTCTCAACCTTGGACTCCTGGTTCTCAGGACTGGGACTTATGCCATTAGCTCCGCTGGTTCTCAGGGTTTGGGCATTGGGTTGGAACTCTACCACTGACTCTCCTGGGCCTCCAGCTTGCAGACTGCAGATCATGGAACTTAGACTCCATAATCATAGGCGTGAACAGCTCCTAATACATCTCTTCTTATATATGTGTTAGAAACAACGCAAAAATGTTGAGAGTGGGACATTTAAGGGGTAACTAAATATAATTAAGTCACAAGGACTGTGCCCTCATGAATGGATTAATGCCATCATTAGTGGTAGGAGTAGGGTAGTTATTGAAGAAGTGGGCTCCTGATAAAAGGATGAGTTCATCCCCCTTAACCCTGCCCTTGCTCTCCTACTCTCATTCTTCACCTTCTACCTTCCAACATGGCATGCCTCAGCAAGAAGGCCTGCACCAGATGTAGGTCCCTTGACCTTGGACTTCTCAGCCTCCAGGTGTGCACCACCACTCCCGGCTTAAGAATTCTAATCTGTACCTGGATCAAATGGGATAGATAACCTGTTCACTGTTGTTAGCTATAGTTGATGGATAGTTGTAGTATATTGCAAAGATGGAGAAAACAGAAAAAAAATAAAATAAAAGGACTGGGGATGCAGCTCATGATAGAGTGCTTGCCTAGCCCACACAAGGCTCTAGATTTGATCCCCAGCATCATAAAGAAAAAAAAATTTATGAGAAAAGGTACTGTGGAATGTTTCTATGCCAATAAATGTTGCACTGTCTCATAATTTTTAATGACTTCAGTGATTTCTATTTTACAATTTATAACAACTCACTTGATCCTACCTACATTTTTTGGACTTTTAATTCCCTCCTGTTACAAACATCTTTTGTAGACAGTTTGGACTTCAGTCTGATTATTTTCTTAGCTGAATTCTTAGACGAGGGATTAGTAGATTAAACGCTATGCATTTTAAAGGTGTTTTGACAGGTACTGCCAAACTGCTGTCCAGAATCGCTGTGCCAACTTGTATTCCCATTATCAGTGACCCATTTTCCTACACCAGTGTTAATCTACAGTATCATCATTAGTCAAATATATGAGTAGAAAAGTAACTTGCTGTAGTTTATATTTCTTTACTTGTATTGTTCACATTTTTAAATTCAGATCCCAATTATAAAGCTGCTAAAGAGGCAAAAAACAAAAAACACACAAAAAAAGAACTGTCCCCCCCCCCCCCCCGCCCCAGGGCACCTCATTCAGTAGCTGGTTTTGCTCCACAGGCTTCCCCCTGGGTCTTGAAGCCAAGCACAGGGGCAGACACACAGCAAGGTGCTGGCTAAGCTGAAAAATGTGAGCTTTGTGTCCCCATTCTTTGCTTTTTGTGCTGAGACTATGGTCTTTCAAAAGACCGTCTGTCTCAAGACTGGAAAAATTATATCTCCTTTAGGCAGAGGCCACCTGATGATGAAAGATCTTGGCTCAAGGGAACTCACTGAAGTGAAGATCTGTAGAAATCAGAATGTAAAATTGCCAGTTTCATGAAAAGCAACCCTGACAGCAAAATGCCTTGGATATCTGGGCCAAAGATCACCCAAGAGCTTAAACATCCTGTGTAACAATTAAGTAGGAAATTATGAGGTTTCTTTTGTAGTGCCTGAATTTTTGTTGGCAGTTCTTTCTTCCTCCCCCATGGCTGTCTCTAGGACTGATGCAAATCGACTTGAGCATCTACTCAAAGTACTTTGGTATCACTATTGTCTATTCTGCCCCAAAGTTTGGCTAGGCTAATCCCACAATTGGGTTGAAAGCTTACAATGTGTTAGAGGATTACAAATAATGGCTTGTCTGGCTTTAAATCATAACATGGTATTTCACAACACTGTTAATAAAGTGCTTCAGTTCTATCTTTAAAAAATGGACTTTATATTGCAGGTAACCATTTACTATTTTAAAAAGAGAAAAAAAAAAGAGCTGAGCATGGGGGTGCATGCTTATAATCCCTGTGGCTTGGGAGGCTGAGGCAGGAGGATCTCAAGTTCAGTGACTTAGCAAATTTAGCCTCAGCAACTTAGAGAGGCTCTAAGTAACTCAGTGAGACCCTGTCTCTAAATAAAGTATAAAAATGCCTGGGGATGTTACTCAGTGGTTAAGCACCCCTGAGTTCACTTTACAGGAGAGAGAGAGAGAGAGAGAGAAAGAGAGAGAGAGAGAGATTTACTTCCAATTTAAGGAGGATATTGAGGATTGTAGAGAAGTGATGCTTTGGGATTTAAATGCAATATAGGGCAGAGGAATGAGGGCAAATGCTGGTGAAGTTCAGAAGGCAACCCTGTTAAAGAGTGGGAAGATAGCTAACAAAACTATTCAAGCCATAATATCTTTTGAAGAGTCCACATCAGATATCTTCTCCTCCTGGCCCAGCACATGGCCTCAGTGAATGCCCTTGGTATGTGGCTGGTACAACCCCTTAGCGAGGGATGACAGCCCAGAGGTGATGCTCCAGGCAGCCAGTTGGGCTGTTCTTCCTCCAAGATGCTCTCATGCCTCCTCTTCCATCAGCTGTTTCTCTTTGGGAGCAGGAGGGAATCTAGATGCATATGAAAATATATTTACATTCAGGCATGGTGGTGCACACCTATAATCCTAGCTACTCTGGCAGCTGAGGTAGGAGGATCACAAATTCAAGGCTAGTCTGGGTAAGTTAGCAAGTCACTGACTCAAAATAAAAAATAAAAAGGACTGGGGATGTAGTTCAGGGGTAAATAACCTTGAGTTCAATCCCTAGTACCATGTAAACAAACAAACAAAAAAAGCAAACAAAAAATTGCAGACAGAAAATACAAATGAAATGTCTGTGATTTCCAAGGGGGAAATCATATTGGTAGGTTTCTAGATGAAACAAGATTGGTTGTGAGATAATTACTAAAATTGGTGATGGATACATAAAGGTGATTATACTATTCTTTCTAGTTTTGTTTGTATTTGAAAATTTTTACAGTAATTTTTTTTTTTTACATTTTATGAGAGGAAGGGAGGGAGGGAGGGAGGGAGGGAAGGAGGGAGGGAGGGAAGAAGGGAGGGAGGAAAGAAGAAAAGGAAACAAAGGCAAGCAGGCAAACATCCTTTCTAAAAATCAAGGTGAGAGAAGCTAGAAGCATCCTACAGAGCATTGGGCTGGTGTTCCATACATGGTTTCTGATCAACAATTATGGATAACAGTGACATTGACCAGAACAATGGCATGTGAAGAGAAACTGGCAGGAGAAACTGAAAAAGTGAGTAGATAGAAAGTGTTCTAGGAATCTATTCAATCAACAAGTACTTCCCGTGATTCAGATGTAGGTGGCCAAGGACCATAATTTGAGAAAATCTTAATTGGTTAAATAATAGCCTCATTTTTAGCTTCCCATTAGATTCGTTTTCTTTATTCTAGCAAGGCCACTTTAACTGCAGGCATGAGTAATTAACCAGCCTTCCTTCATTAGCCCAAAGGGTTTGAAAAGCATGATGATAGGTTAGGTAATTCCCAAATGCTAACATACCTAATTCCTGCTGTCCCAACATAACTATCAACACTGCAATTTTCTATAATTCATAATAATTCTCTGTATACATCAGGCTAAAGAAGCACCAGATTGTTCAGAGACTTAATGCAAAAACTGGAAATAATTGACAAAAATAAAAGGACAGGAAAATACTGCAAGCTCTTTGCATCGATAAAAGCATTTATATAAAGAATGTTTGCAGAAATTACCTGATTATATCACAACTGGAGCAAGTTATTAATGTGCTAGCCTTTCTCTGGCAGGTCTAGGGAGCCAGGTCTGATTCTGGGAAAGGGATATGCCAAGAATGTTCTCTGCTGGGTCGTGGTTTCTAATTTTGGATCAAGTCATGTAGTCTGTGAGACATTTCAGAGCAAGGCTATAGGAAAACACAATCTCTTTTAAGTTTATGGAATTTTCCTTAACGGAGGGAAATTTGGCAATACCTATCTACATTACAGATGCATCTGCCATTTGACCCAGCAATCCCACTTCTGAGTATTTTCCTACAGACCCAACACCAAGTGAGATAACACTGCTACAGTGACTGTCATGACAGATAATTGGAAAGAGCCCAGTTGCTTGGCCCATCAATAACAAACTGGGTAATAAGCCGTCGTCATCCCCACAGTGGGCCATGTAGCTGCAAAAAGAAAAAAGAAAGGAAGGAAGGAGAGGAGGGAGGGACAGAGGGAGGAAAATTGAGGAGCATTTCTACAGAAAGGGATCCATGCTGTCAAGAAGAAAAGGCACTGAAAAGAATATATAAGAAAAAGCACTAAAAGAGAGGAACAGCCCGGAATGGGGGTGCATGCCTGAGTCCCAGCTACTTACTTGTAATGCTGAGGTGGGAGGATCACTTGAGCTCAGGAGTTTGGGACCAGCCTAGGCAATTCAGCAAGACACAGTATTTAAAAAAAAAAAAAAAAGAAAGAAAAGAAAAAGAAAAAGAAAAAAAGTAGGGGCTAGGGAAGTGAATATAAATTCTTACTTGTTTGATTTTACATAAAGAAAAGCTTGGTACTAGGGGTGTAGCTCAGCAGTAGGGCTCACTGAGCTCAACATACAGTAGGCACTGGGTTCAATTTTCAGCCCCATAAAAATAAATAAATAAAAAGCTGGAAGGAAATAGTAAAACAGTTAATTATACACAAAATAATCACAGTAGTTTTTGCCTAAGTGGAATATTTTTGAGAGTGAAAAGATCACTTTTAATAATTATACCAAGACAAGCACAGGTTGGGACTGTTCCAGAGAAACTAGTTCCTATGGTTCCTACCTAGAGAGGTTGGGATGAGGGTCTTGGGGGAACGGAGTACCTGGAGACATGTGGGAATGAGATTTCTCCACTCTGGAATAATGTACATGTATTACCTGTTGAAAATGAGAAAAAAAAATTCATGAGTGCTTTGGTCATTTTAAGATTTGTTGCTGGATTGTTTTTTCTTTTTTTAAAATTTGTTCTAATTAGTTACACATGACAGTACAATGATCTTGACATATCATACATTTGAATCAGATGGGATATAATTTCTCATTTTTCTGAGTGTACAGGTTGCAGAATCACATTGGTCATACAGTCATGTTGCTGGATTTTAACAGTCTGCATTGATGGGTGAACATTTAATGGTTTCTGAACTCCTTGGTGTAAGTGATTAAAGGCAAGAGAAGAACATGAATGAGTGCAGAACTACCTTCTCTTAGGTGAGTTTTCCAGAACAGCTTAGGATTTGAACCTTCATTTGTGTATCCTTCTAGTCAGCCACTCATTCAGCTTTCAGCAAATATGAATTGACTTTTTATGAGCTGAGCAACTATGGAAGCACTGAGAACTCTGGTGCTGGGAGCAGATCTACATCCTCCTGAGGAGCTCTTGGTCTACTGGAAGCTACAAATGAGCACACAGAATATAAGAACAGTGGTGGGGCCAAGTGGCATTTGCCAGAAAACTGGTAGCAGGCACATGGGTTTCCTCAAGGAGATCGCTGGCCAGTTGAGGAAGTGAGTGAATGAATGAATGAATGAAATAAGATAAAGTAACCTCTTACATACCTTCCAAATCTGCAATTCACTTGTTATATGACACACTTGCTTCTAATATTTTGGAAGAATGGGAATGGATCAAATGCAAATAACTTTGCTTGGTTAAAGAGAGGGTTTGGTTTATTTTGAATATATAGGGCATTTTCTTTGAGAAAATTTGTGATGTATATGGGATAATGGAGAGATAATGAAGGTACCTGATGGAAAAAAAATTAGTTTATATCTTTTGAAAAAGTCTTTACAGTTTATAAGGCAGGGGGAAAAGAATTAATCCAACAGCAAAATTCCTGTTAAGGACAGATAAACTATTCAAGAAAATACCTTAATGATACAGACTATGGGGTTGATTTTGGAGAGTGTTAATTGTTTCCAAGTCTGAATGTTTCACAGATCTAGCTCCCATAGGGACACCAGCTTCTCTGTCTGCATATAATTTTTACAAAACTGATAATTATTTATAGCAATTTATACAACTGACATATAATTCCACTGGGACTAAAGTGGCAGAGTTGACAATAAGCTTGCCAATTATGTATTATTTTGGGCCCTTCTGCATAACTTTTTTCTCTGACAGACTAAAAATTATCTTCGTTTAGTCTTCTTCCTTTTCGTGATATTTTTTCCGCTTCCACTTTTGAATTGAACTTGGGCAGCCTCCGCTGGCTTAATTTAGTAGTTACCACTTTGGGACCATCACCTACTCAAGCACGGACTCGCCTCTCCATTCATTTTATCAATGGCATCGTCTGAGCTAGAAATAAGTGCTGATGAAAAGCCAGCTAAGGAGAACCTCATACAAAGTTTTAAAATTGTTCATCTAAGCTCTGCATATTAATAGTTTTTGAAAATGTTTTTCTGGTCACCATTTTATTAAATGTTTTCTTCCCTTGCCTTCTGCAGAGGCTCAGACCTCCAAGGAGCTCACAGAATCAAGGAACATGGGGGTGCTAGTGGGCAAGATCCACTCCAGAAATTCATTTGGCCAGTGACAGTGTGAAGGCCTAAAAGATGGGGTGATTTGCTTTACAGCACAGGGCATGACCATGGCCAAGATGGGGGTGCTCTGCCCACTCTGTCCTCAATTGCTCTTCTGCCCCTACTGACAGGCTCACTGACCCCCTTCACTTCCCCATCCCACCTGCAAGCACCAGGGCAAGATGAGGTCTGGGTTTCCTATTTTCTACTCAAATCAAGCTGCCCGTCTGGTAAAAAGGAAGCGTCCCATCTTTACTAATTTCCTAGGATTATTGTAACAAGGAACCATGAACTGGGTGTTTAACCACCGAATTTTTTTTTTTTTGTCTCACTGTCCTGGGGGTGAGATGTTCAGGACAGATCAGGTGTCCGCCTGGTTGGTTCCTTCTGAGAACTACAAGGGAGAATCTGTTCCTTGCTTCTTCCAGCTTCTAGTAGCTCCAGGAATTCTTTGGCTGTGGTGGCATTACTCCAGTCTCTGCCACTATCTTCACATGCCCATCATGTCTCCCTGTGTGTGGCTTTGCCTTCTCTCCCTCCGTGTGTGTCCAAATTCCCCCTTTGTATAAGGATATCAGTCACACTGGAGTATAGGGCCTATCTAAGGACCTAACTTGATTACTCTGTAAAGGGCCTATTTCTGAACAAGGAACTGAAGATTAGGACTTCATGTAATTTCGGGAGATACAAAATTTAATCTATGTTATGGTTTGAATCTATGTTCCCCAAAAGCTCCTGTGTTAAGGCAGGAATGTTCAGAGGTGAAGTGATTGGATTATGAGAGTGGACCCTAATCAATCCTAATCTGAATGGACTGACTGTAGGCAGGTGGGGCATGGCTGGAAGAGGTGGGTCACGGGGGTGTGCCCTGAAAGGGTTCATTTTGCCTGTGCCCCCTTCCCCCCACCCTCTACTTCCTGACCCAACTATGAGCTGAGCAACTTTCCTAAGCTGGACCCGTCCTCCATGATGTTCTGCCTCACCTTGGGTCCAGAGCGATGGAGTCAGCCATCTATGGACTGAGACCTCTGAACCTGTGACCACCAAACTTCACTTCCTCAAAGTTGTTCTGGCAGTTATTTTGGTCACAGTGGTGCAAAGCTGAAAAAAACAACCTGTAACACCATCTAAAGCCCCTTCTCTGTTAACTGACCTCCACAACTACCATCTGACAGTGGTGAACACAGAGAAGACAAAGGGTTAAGAGGAATCTTTCCAAACTGAGGTGGAGTTCTAACAATTGAACAGAGAATAGCTTAAATTTGAAAGTGTTATTATTGATGTTGTTTCTCTTGTTATCTAGTTTCAACATTCTCTCTGACCAAGTTTTCTGTCACTCATTCATTCATTGAATATGGGCCAGGCACTGTTCCAGGGGCTAAATATACAACAGTCAATAAAACAAAAGAAATTCCAATCATCACAGCTATGGTTTGGGTGTGGTTCAAGTGCCTCTTAAAGTTTTGTGCTTTGGAAGCATGGTCCCCAGTGTGGCAATGTTAAGAGGTGGTGGGATCCCGTAAAAATGAGGCCTACGATGATTGCAAGTTCAAAGCCAGCCTCAGTAACGTAGTGAGGCCCTGAGCAACTTAGTGAGACCCTATATCAAAATTTAAAAAAATAATAAACAAATAAATATTACCAGTGGGAAGTCATCAGGTCACTGGGACATACCCTCAGAAGGGTTTCATACAGTTTTTATGGGGCCCCCATCTCTCGGCTCTTTGTCTCACCATGTGATCTCTTCCTCTCACACACACTGTGATGCCAACGACCATGAAGCCTACCCCAGAGATATGCTGATGCCAGCATAATGCCTTTAAACCTCCAGAACTCTGAGCTAAATAAGTTTATCTTTAAAAAGTTCTCAGCCTCACGTACTTTGTTACAGTTACAGAAAATGGACCCACACCCTCATACAGCTTATATTCTAGTTGCAGAGAGAGACATAAAGTAATTACACAGTTATGCCAGATTATAATGAATACTATGAAGAAAAATAAAGCAAGGAAGGGTAAGAGTGCCAAGGAAAAGACTATCATTTTAGGTTAGGTGATGAGGGAAGAGCTGAGTGCAGAGGTGATATATTAGAGCAAATATATACAAAAGGTGTGAGGAAGCCAGTTCAATATCTAGAGGAAGGATACTCCAGGAAGGGGAAGAGCAAGTACAAAGGTCCCCAACTTAGAGCATGCCTGGAGCAGCTGAGGTCCTGCAAGGAGGCACACAGGGCCTGAGCAGAGGGAGTAGGTAGGGGAGAATCAGAAGGTGAAACTGGGGAGGGTTGGAAGGTGGAAGAGGTACTCAAGACCACTGATTTTGTGGGACAGTGTAAGGACTTTGTCTTCCACTCAGAGAGAGATGGCTCCAGTGGTTTTGAGTAGGACTTGACATAATCTGATATGCATTTTAAAACAATGCCTCTGGCCACCTCACTGAGAACCGACTCCAGGGCACAGAGTGGAAGCAGGGAGGTCAAACAAGGGGCCACCATGGTAACTGAGAAAGGAGGCAATAAGGACCTGGACTAGGGAGATTAGAGGAAGGGGTGGAAGAAGTTTCATTGTAGAATCTGGGCATATCAGGAAGGTGCAGCTAATCTTTCCCAACGGAGTGGCTACAATCTGTGAGAGAAAGGGAAGGGTCAAGACTAACTTCCAGATGTTTGCCCTGAGCAAGTGGAAGGAGAGATTTGCTATCCATTAAGACATGAAAACCCAGGATTTCAAACTCAGTTTGGAACCAGTTAAGTTTGATTGGCTTGTGAGACACCCAGTGGAATTGCCAAAGTGCTTCTAAGTAGTGTGTTGCTTTAGGACAAAACAGACCTCGCGACTACACAATGCCAGCCCCCACTCCTCCTGGATATGAACCATGGTGTTTCCCTCCCCTTCCACTTATTCCTGCCCCTAAGGCTTCTCTGGCATTTTTCTCATTTCTTGGAATGTCATCTCAATTCCTTTCTTCCTTTCTAAATTCACTCCGCCCTTTGTGTTCACTTTTTCATTCCACAAACTCTGAGTGGCTTAGTTTTGGTGGGAATCTGTGAGCTTCTCAGCAACTTTTCTCGGCTCCCTTCATCCACAAGGCTGTCCTCTGATTGCAACTCCTGATCAAGCGCTGGCTGCCTGGAACCATCTGTGGCATATAGTCTTGCTGTCATTTAACAATCTGAATATCATGTTCTCTGATAAAGATGAGAGCTATCTGCACGGAGCACCCGGTACATGTTTCAATGACTTTAGGTGGGGTTGAATTCACAACTCTGGTTCATTTACTTTATCTACAGAGCCTTGTTCTCTGGGGCACCTCCAGGCCCATCCCCTAACTTCCCCCACCTCTATGGGCCCTGCCTCTCCCATGCTGGGAACAGAGGGACAAGAGAAAAAAAAAAGGGGGAAGGGAGGATCTATCTTGTCAATATTGGATTCTTGACTTTGGACTATTAGTGGACTATTAGCCTTTGATTCTTTTCTGGCTCACAGCCCTACCCTCCCACACCCAGTTAATTATTAGCATTTCTCAGAAAGGTTGCATGGTGTCAATAAACAGTATTAAAAATGAAAATGGAGACCAATTCAATTTAACAAAGTTTACTTGAGCAAGAAAAACTATTCTAGAGTCAGGCAGCATTCTAGTCAGAAGATGGTTCAGAATGTCCCCCAACACTTACAATGTGATGAAGTACTTTTATAACCAGGAAAACAGGAAAAGGTGTACAGGGATTGTCTGATTGGTGCAGTGTTCCCAGCCCCCTTATTTGATATAATTGGGCAGTGTTTTAGTTCAGCTTTTTCACTGCTGTGACTAAAGGACCTGACAAGCACAATTATAGAGAAAGAAGAGTTTATTTGAGGGCTCATGGTTTCA